TTTCTGGTTCTCTATTATGATTTGTCTGTTTCATCTTATACTAGTATTATGATATTCACTGGAGGTTTCTGGGGGGGGGGGGGGGGGGACTGCCCCACTTACTAAAAAAAAAATAAAACTGAACGGGAAAAAAAAAACACCCCCCCCCCCAAAAAAAAAAAAAAAAAAAAATCCCTAAGGCTTCAAACAAAAGCCAACATAATACTTGGACCAAAATTTAACCCTAAAAAATCCCATGCCTAATTTCCGGGCCATGAAAAATTCCAGCGGAGCTACGCGGCCGGGATACGCTGGAACTATCACGAATCTTCAGAATGTTTTGAATACCCCAAAAAAATCCCTGCTTAAATCAAGCCATCCAAAAAGTACTTGCCAAAATTTTCCTACCCAAAGAAATTCGGAAATCGAAAATTTCAAGCCCAAAAAATTCTTGGATCATCCCCGTCAATTGAAATCCGGAGTCCCCCCGTGGGGGTTTTTTAATACAGTATTGACTTGACCTTTGGATTCTTCTCTGTTAGCTCTATGACTAGTCTCCCACGCAGACGTTTTTAGGGGTTCGGCACGCGTTCCTGCCCCACTAACAAGCGCGAAATTTCTCCATGTCCAAAGTGCACTTATCAGATCTGGAAGTCTGCTGTGATCGGTCTACGTTTTCGTCCGTTCAAATCCTCAGACGTTAGTGGGGTAGGAACAAGTGACGAACGCCTAAGAACGTCTGCGTGGGAGGCTACTCTATGACTGTCGTGACAGTAATGTGATCCTGCTATGAATAAAGCTGACAGGTCGCGTGACTGATCAGATAATTGTTTGTTTGCAGCATACCGGCACATACTTGGTTCACTGCTTGGGAGCGACTGTTTTCGCAGGCTAGGAGCTGACTTGGTGCCAAAGTAGCAGGTAAGAAAAATAGCCGTTCCAACTGCATGTACGCAGTGCAGACGGCGTTGCAACAAAGGACTAAGAAGACGTCTGCACGCAGGCCAAAAAAGGCCGCTTTTTGTGCAGTTCCTTACAGTCTCTTACATTTCTTTGCCAAGTTACTCCACGAGTAATATAACCTATGCACGCGAGCTGCGATTATTCCCTATTGTGATGTTGCATTCGCTTTGGCTGGGACAAGAACTGGATGGATTTGAAAAAGCGGGCTATCCATGGCAGAGGCTTAATAAAATCCTTATACAACACTCTGCTTTATAAACAACGATTGTATCGAACACCCTGGTACTGTGGAACCCTGCTGTAAGACCCCCACGCTTAACGGATAGTTTTCACAGGGGTTACTATAGAAATTTTGGGGGTGGAGGTCTACCGCTGGGACACTGTGCTTGGCCATATTCAACTGCAATTTTGCTTCCGTACTCTAGTCAAGGTATCAAGAACCGAAAGTCGATCGAGGTATCGGCCGTTACGTCGACCAAGTGTGGGTGAAATGTCGAGGAAGTGACCGATAGACTGTAGCGGCGGACTAAGCGACACTTATTGGTCGAGATTCAACTGACACTCGACCAATAGACAAGACGAGATAACATTTATTTGGAGTCTTATACCAGCTGATACATCGACTGTTTTCCAAATAAATTAAAATTACAACCTTCTACGTTAAGGCGAGCCGTATGTCGACCGACAGTTGACCAAGATAGCGGCCGCCGATACATCGTCGACACCCCCAATAAGACACATGATTCAACTTCCTCCTGCCCTAAACTGCCGCTTACAAGACCTGGGCTTGTATACAAATTTGTAAGGGGTTTTAGGAGGACTTATCAATGGAGGGGCTTATAGAAAAAATACAATGGACGAGAAAAAGTTCTTCGAAACAAGCTATAGCAATTGCTGATAAAAATACGTTTTGCATTAATTTTACTAGTTTTTTGTATAAAGGTTCAAAAGGTCATAATAATCAAATTCCTTTCAATGCACAGGTTTCTCTGTTTTAAGGTAGATGTGCCTATAACATGGGGGAGGGGGTCATAACAGTGACCAACCTCCTTTGAATACCATTTTCTAAATCAAATTTCGACAAATTCCTCAATTTCGGTACGCTATCCTAGACTCCTACCCTTATACATGGTGTGGTAGACTTTAATTTATTGTCCAACGAGAATCTCTTATAGTAATCTCTCATAGCTTAAAATAATACGGACAACGAACGCTTTTTTTGACCCGAGTGAAATGCTTTCGTGTAAAGTCAACCCTGCTCTACGGATACTGATGATTTGCATAGTTCATTTTGACAAGTTTGAACCAAGAGAGGTTATGCGAGTACCAAGGTCTTGCACCCGCCGCAATCCTATTCGAAAGTGGTGGGGATATTTCTTACCCCTTCGCAGCCGTTTTAAGGGTCGTCTAGGAGAGGAGCGTTGCGTGACGACCCTAAAAGCGGGTGCGNAGGTAAAGCTTAAAAAACGTAACATGAAATGTCGTACTCGTAGTCGTTCTCGTCCTCAAATATAAGGTATATTCTAACTTCTCGCTTTTTAACAGACGTGACTTAGAGCAAAGTGTTTGATTTGTTAATAATCCACACTGCTTAGAGCCAGTCAGATTGGGGGGATCATTAGTGATCTCATAAGTGATTTTTAAATGTGATATAACGCCTCTCTTTCGATCGATAGGTAGAGGTAGAAGTTTTTTTCCTTCTTCGGAGGGGAGGAAGCAACAAATTCATGGAAACTCGTATATATTTATTACCGCGCACGGAAACTGACAACACATTTCAAGATTTAAATACAGACTTGATTTGTCTCGAGAAAAAACTCAGCAATACACGAAAATATCTTTTGTCTCATTGTCATTCAGTTAGTGGCAGATTTAGCGAATGCAGATACTGCAAACGAGCCTCACCGCTACGACAAAGCACTGCCACATTGGTGAGGAAAAATTGTTAGTGAGTTTAGTTCAGTTCATTTCCTCTACTACTGGTAAGTAAAGATGAAGTGATTCGATGTTTGTGAAGAATGAGCGGGTTTATAAGTTCGCAATTTGGGATGCTACTGTTATTCGATTTGTTTAACTTCAAGGTATCCAATAAACAGCCTCTCTATATTCAAATGTACATATTTACAAGTGTCATGGTATTTACACTATTTACAGGAGAATTTATTGGATAATTTTGACATCCGAGCAGTTCATGGACGGTAGCCAGTCTGTCCAGTCACCAGTCTCATTCCCATTACAATCAAACTGGTTCTGGAATTGAACAAGGTAGCCCAGACGGGAGTTGTACGCTGCGATGGTACCCCTCAACCATCCCAGATAAGAAAAGTTTCCATCTTCTTTTTTTTCCTTGTATTCAACCTCTACCACTGAGTTAATCAACTCTTTGCCTCTCCTTCGCGCTCTCTTCGCTGCCCGGATGTCTTTAGCTTTGTCTGGAGGACCATTAACATCGAGTGTTGTGTGTGTTTCAGGGTCTACCACAAGGCTTGTGCGCTTCCTTTTCCTATTCTGTCTTTTTTTGTTGGTGACCGAGTAACTTATGTTTACGTCTTGAGATCTTGCCACCATTTTAACTGCATGAATTCTGTCCTCTAAGTATATGTTTTCTAAGATAACATTCAAGTTATTCTTTGATTTGAAGGACTGCCTGTTGATGGACTCGACGGGATTGGTTGTGTTAGACGTTCCATCCCAGTCGTCGGCGTCTCTGCTGGTGAAGGCTTTAGTAAACATGTGTAAATGTCTCGGGCGAGTCCACCAGTTGGCCCAATGTTTGAGTCTCTTCCATCCGGCGTTTGAAACCTCATTTGGGTCGTTGCAAATTTGTTTTAGCTTCTCAGGAACGTAGCGAATAGCGCTTAATAAACTTTTTCTTCCTGACAAAATTTCAAATATTTCTATGACTTCCTCTTTTTCTTTAGCATCTTCTACGTTTCCAGCGAGAGATTTAAATATCAATTCTTCGTCTTTTGATTGGCAAACAATCTTGGCCACTCTATTCACTGATCGCTTCCAGTGCACTGAACATCCTCGTAACAACTTTTCTGTGATATCTTTCCCTAAAACCCGCGTAAAGCCGTTATATTCAGCATCGTCGAAGTCAACTACGATTTGCCTTAAAGATTTACCATGATTGAAATTTGAATTAACTTTCGTTGCTTGTTTAAATACTTCATGAAACGACAAACCATACGATTCCCCATCTTGTTTGTCACATAAAACCCTGGCGACAGCCTGGTAACTCAAGGTTTCCTTATTAAAAATAACCAAATTTAAAAGGTAAGGAAAATCATCATTTCCGGTGAAGGTAATGTCAGAAAACAGTTCCTCCGCCTCTCCGAGCAGTTCGCACTGGTAAGGTGACATGAAAAATGCGTATTTTCGACCAGGTTTAAATAAGTACTCCACACCCTCCATTTGGTACTTGCCCATCATCTCGTTTACTTTACCGCTGAACTCCGAGTCTGTGGCGTCTTGTTCCTTTTCTACCTTTTCCCGTATCTTCTCAAAATCGAGGATTTTGAGAAGTGGCATAAGTTCTTTCCTGGTTGTACTTGTAGTTGAAAGGATACGTGATCTCTCACGACGGACTCTTTCGGCATTTGCAGCAGCCGGGGACACCTCTCCAGGTATAATCCCTATACCACAACCTTTTTGCAGATCTTTGGTCGTTAGCGAGGTGTCTTTTTTTAGAGCAGCGCCAATCTTACATTTAACCTCTTGGCTAATACGATGTGGCGCTGGCTTGCTGTGATTATGCTTTAAGTCAGGATCAGGAACGATTCCCATCCACCTCCGACCATCATCGTTTGTAGGCCAAGCATACATAATTTGAGCTGGACACGGACCGGTCATTTTGAGTTTGTGCGTCTTAGCATGACTTTTACATCTGTTCTGTTTTTGGCGATTTGACACTGCATACGTGCAATCTGGGAAACTGCATACTTTTATACCTTCACACGGTGCACGCCTCAAGGTGATCTCTGTGTTCTTTCCTTCTATTCTTATTTGACACTTCTTTGTTGTAGTGTGCCTCTTTGACAGTTGGTTATCGTCCCACATGAAATGCGGTCTCTGATGGGAGCCAAATCCTTTCATCTCCTTAATATTCTTGCAGTAAGCAATATCTTTCGAAGACTGCGAGAAACCTGGATATTCATAATCCTCTTTTTTCATTTCAGACCATTTCTCTGAGGAACTCAACGCGTTTCGTATTTTGGGCAGGTGGTGAAGAGCTCTCCCCTCTCGATTTGCGTGTTTCTTGTTATCCGAAGGCGCCTTCTTCCTCTTTTCGAAAGGGTCGATAGAAGGGGACAGAACGACCAGGTCTGAAGGATTTCTAAGAAACTCTTGTCCTTCGGTAGACACTTTGAACTTTCTAGCTGTTGTGGAGAACTGTGGAGTCCTAATTATCTTAAAGTTCATTTCAACTAATTTCAAGCTAATCAGTTGACGTAGATGTCTAGACCACCACGAACGGTTATTTCCCAGCTGTTCTCCTTTTCCAAAGGTAGAAGACTTGTCGATAGCCGTCTGGATTTCTGGCTTGGAAATCCAATCTCTTTTTGCACCAACAAGCCATGAAACCAGGTTGTCTTCATTCACCCCTTCATTACTGGACAATATTTCCTGTAAATCCTTTATTGCTGTTAATAGTAATATGGCAGGCTCTCTCGCATTAAAGTCTTTTTCCTTTTCAATGTCACAGCTGCTACAACATTCTCCTTCTGTTTGGTCAAGGATGACCGTTGTGTCTTCGTATGATCGCCGAAGAGTTTCTCTTAAACATGTCCGATTATAAACGCCATAAATCCATCTCCAGGAATCCTCGTAGCTCTTCTTAATTCGTTCCACTTCATCGCTACTACAGCCCATAGTCCAATATGTCAAGCGTTGATCGTCTTTATATTCGTTGAAAAAAAGGTATCCATCAGCTTGTTCCCCTCCCCTTCCAGCTCTTCCAAATTCCTGTATCAGCACCCCGAGATTCCGCATACAACCCAGCCGTACTACACTTTGGACGTGCGGACTGTGAGTCCCTACTTCATAGGACTCTGTAGCCACAAGCAGTTGGAAATCTTTGTTCCTAAACTGACTATCCACCTCCATTTTTTCATGATGTGAAAGGCCCCCATGGTAGGCTCTGGCATCGAGTGCACAACTTTCTTTCAGGCAGGTCAGCATTAATTCTACGTCTCTTTTAAAGTCCATGTAAACAATTCCATATTCGTCTGCTAAAAGATCCCTGATTTGTCTTGACGTGTCCATCCAAACTAATGATTTATCGCCCTTTACCGGTCTTTTTGTCTGGTACTTGCCCACATTGAGCTTTATGTTTGGTCTATCTACCGTTGATTTTATCAGCACCGGCTGTCTAAGGTAGTTTTCACAAAGAAGATTTAATTGTTCTTCGTTAAGAGTTGCTGTTAATGCCATGATTGGAATGCCAGGAAAGTCGTCATGAAGGAACCTGAGGGTGTCATAGGAAGACCTAAACTCACTGTTCCTGTCAAATACTTTGTGAACTTCATCGATGACAATGAGCTTTAATCGTTTTGATAAAGAAGAAAGTCGGTGCTTTAACTTGGTAGCAAAATATTCCGGTGTTGTATATATTAGTGAATGCGAGGCTTCACTTTCGTCTCCGATGGTCATCATTTCAACTGGATGTTGTGGACCAACGGCAATAGCGTTTATCCCAAACGCTTTCAAACTTTCGACTTGAGAGTGAATCAGGGAGATCGTTGGACAAATCACGACCGTGGTTTTTGTGTTATCAAACACTGACGGAACTTGAAAACAAATGCTCTTTCCACTACCTGTCTTCTGAATAACGACGACATCTTTCTTTGCCTCTATTGCACGTATTGCGTCTAACTGGAATCTTTTAAATGACGTTAGTTGAAAAGTTGTTAGATGTCCTTTCCATAACAGCTCTGCGCTCTCATTATGTGCAAGGCGTCTAGTAGGATATTCCCACAGCTTTGTCGAGAAGTCGTTAGACTCTTGTTTCACTGTAATAACATCAGGCTTTTTCGTATGATCGGGACTACTGATTGGACTTTCATGAACAACCTTGTGGCGTTTTTTCGCGGATGACTCGTCAGGTTCAGGTACACTAGCTATCAAGTAATCATCTTCGTCATCAACACTACCAAACGTCCCATCAAAATCTTCTGAGACACTTAGAAGTAAATCGTCGTCGTCGTTTTCATCGGAGAAATATGTCTTTTCTATATCATCAGCTTCTTGAACAGTTAGACGTATCAGTGACTCTCTTCCCTTGTCAGGACCAACGCTGCTACTAATACGCTTTTCCAGCCAATCTAAGACACTCTCTCCTCCATTTTGTACGTTTCCATTACAACGCACCAGTCTAATTATTGCATTGCCATTTCCTCCTAGATCAAAGGAGATGCAATGGGTATCTATTATCAGAAATGTGTTGCCTACGAAGCATAAGTAGTTAAGTAGTTGAGTACTGGCTACCTTAAAACCTATTGACTATGAACTGATCCAAAAGTAGCCGTTTAGTAGTTAACTACTGGCTACCTTAAAACCTATTGACTATGAACTGATCCAAAAGTAGCCGTTTAGTAGTTAACTACCGGCTACCTTGGTACCCGTTCACTATAAACTTATACAAAAGTAGCCGTTAAGTACTTGACTACTGGCTACCTTAAAACCTATTGACTGGTAACTGATCCAAAGGTGGCCTTTAAGTAGTTGACTACTGGCTTCCTTAACACCTATTGACTATAAACCAATCCAAAAGAAGCCGTTAAGTAGTTAACTACTGGCTACCTTAACACCTATTGACTATGAACTGATCCAAAAGTTGCCGTTTAGTAGTTAACTACCGGCTACCTTGGTACCCGTTCACTATAAAGTTATGCAAAAGTAGCCGTTAAGTAGTTGACTACTGGCTACCTTAAAACCTATTGACTATTAACTGATCCAAAAGTAGCCTTTAAGTAGTTGACTACTGGCTTCCTTAACACCTATTGACTATAAACCCATCCAAAAGAAGCCGTTAAGTAGTTAACTACTGGCTACCTTAAAACCTATTGACTATGAACTGATCCAAAAGCAGCCGCTAAGTAGTTCAGTACTGGCTATGTTAGGACTTTTTTTACTATAAACCTCTCGGAAAGGAGCCGTTAAGTGTTCAGGTTAGTGGCTACCAAAAGGTCGGTAGATGCAGTTAGTGGCTATTCTAGGGTAAGTAAATTTATTTAAAAGTACAGAAGAGGAAAGTGGCTAAGAAAGATGAACGTATATAGACAAAGAATTTCACTAAATTTGTTATTATAACAATTCCCGTTTTCACAGGGGTTACTATAGAAATTTTGGGGGTGGAGGTCTACCGCTGGGACACTGTGCTTGGCCATATTCAACTGCAATTTTGCTTCCGTACTCTAGTCAAGGTATCAAGAACCGAAAGTCGATCGAGGTATCGGCCGTTACGTCGACCAAGTGTGGGTGAAATGTCGAGGAAGTGACCGATAGACTGTAGCGGCGGACTAAGCGACACTTATTGGTCGAGATTCAACTGACACTCGACCGATAGACAAGACGAGATAACATTTATTTGGAGTCTTATACCAGCTGATACATCGACTGTTTTCCAAATAAATTAAAATTACAACCTTCTACGTTAAGGCGAGCCGTATGTCGACCGACAGTTGACCGAGATAGTGGCCGCCGATACATCGTCGACACCCCCAATGACACACATGATTCAACTTCCTCCTGCCCTAAACTGCCGCTTATAAGACCTGGGCTTGTATACAAATTTGTAAGGGGTTTTAGGAGGACTTATCAACGGAGGGGCTTATAGAAAAAATACAATGGACGAGAAAAAGTTCTTCGAAACAAGCTATAGGATAAAAATACGTTTTGCATTAATTTTACTAGTTTATTATAAAGGTTCAAAAGGTCATAATAATCAAATTCCTTTCAATGCACAGGTTTCTTTGTTTTAAGGTAGATGTGCCTATAACATGGGGGAGGGGTTCATAACAGTGACCAACTTCCTTTGAATACCATTTTCTAAATCAAATTTCGCAAATTCCTCAATTTCGGTACGCTATCCCAGACTCCTACCCTTATAAATGGTGTGGTAGTCTTTAATTTATTGTCCAACGAGAAGCTCTTATAGTGATCTCTCATAGCTTAAAATAATACGGACAACGAACGCTTTTTTTGACCCGAGTGAAATGCTTTCGTGTAAAGTCAACCCTGCTCTACGGATACTGATGATTTGCACAGTTCAGTTCAGTTCAGTTCAGATGTGCAGTTTTGCACATTTTGACAAGTTTGAACCGAGAGAGGTTATGTGAGTACCAAGGTCTTGCACCCGCTGCAATCCTATTCGAAAGTGGTGGGGATATTTCTTACCCCTTCGCAGCCGTTTTAAGGGTCGTCTAGGAGAGAAGCGTTGCGTGACGACCCTAAAAGCGGATGCGGAGGAGATTATTCATACCCCTGAAATCCCTAAAGAAAGGATAATCTGGGCGTGGCTCAGACTTGGGATTCACCTTTTATCTTGAAACACGACCTCGCTTGCCCAGTGGTAGTCTTCTTGACCCATGTGCCTTGTCATCATGGATTGCACGTGCGGTGAAGTTTAAACCTCCAGATTGTTTTTAACCCTCTAGGTCTTCTAGTAAAACTTGAGTAAGAATTATAGTCAGCACGAATAATGGAAGGTGACATCGCCGGTATTTCCGCAACAACTTCTAAAGTGCTTAAAACTGAAAGATCAGATTTAGATGATTCCCGTATTTTATCATTGACAGCATGAATAACATTTCATGTTCTTGAAACATTATTAAAGGCATTGATGATTTTTTTTAGGCAGAAAGCTTGTCAATATTGAGATCAAATCCATCATTATTGTCTGAACCTTCTTCTGCGTTTTAGCAGTGGTATTTTACAGAGAAATTAGGTGCTAATCTTGTTAATGGGTATATGAGTAAATGTACTTTGTCTTGTAGCATGGCAGATGAAAAGGATTCATCACATCAGTTCGATGACATCATCAAGACGGTATGCGAATTCGGAAGATGGCAAAAATTTATCTATTTCACAACCTGCGCCCTTGTCATTGTGCCCAGTGGCATTCATATAGCTGGAATGTACTTCATAACTGGTACACCTAAATTCCACTGTGTCACCCCAAATACCACGTGTCTTGAGAATAAGTGCTGTGACAACTGTACAGAGTATGCGTTTGATGGACCATTCATCAGCACAGCAACCGAGGTACGTATACATGTACATGTAGTTAAATTAACCTTTTCACCAGAGTGAAAATTCACAAATTTTTGCAATTGCGAATTTGTGAAATCCTTAGAGATACACCCTACTCAATAAATTTTGGTTTATTTGAATGGTAACACACTAAGATTTTGTCGATTGACTTAAGAGCGAATGTAACCATAATGAATTCATCCCACAATAACTCATTCCAGAGCCGGCATTCTCCCTAGGCAGAGATTGTTTACACGATAACCAGCTACCTCCAATGGAAACAATTACGTTACTAACAAAGACATTTAAAAGACTACATAGCGTCTGTAGTCGAGTTAGCGAGAGTTCGAGTTATCGATGCGAGTGAGAGTACCTTGGAGTGAGCGAGAGGCAAAATCGCGAGGTAGAAGACCGTGATCTCTTGCGCGTTTTCCTCCTTCGCTCGTAACTGAATGCTCACTAGCGCCACCATCCTGAGGGACTGCTGGCCAAATAGATACACAACCTCAACCCCCCTGCGCGACCTCAAAATGGGCAAGCAGATAGTGCGCATGCGTTGAGCTTGGAATGGAAGGCAACAACAGTTAATGAGACACGTCTTCAACACAGATTCGTCTGAACAGTATAAAAAGATTACCTCATTATAGGAAATGAACAATGCACTCTATTGACCCGATTTTGAAAAAATCGTGTTAATTTAATTCATCTTAATTTACGTTGTTTTACAGCACCTTTCTTTCAATAACAGAACCTCGTCTGCTCATAGTTCCTCTATCAACGCCTCGGGGTCACTGTCTGACAGTTCTTCTTTAAGAATTGAGTTAAAAATGTCTTTCGACTGGTCTTCGCGTTGATCTGTTTCCTAGAAAGGATAGCTAACTTCTTCAATCTTTCTTCTTACGGAGCAATAACATGATAACAATGAGATAACAATGGCTGGAAGTGCTGCTGTTTTTTTCTTTAGATATGTGTTGAGAAGTTTGTATTGCAGCAAATTCGCGTAAAATAAAGTTAGGCGCACATTGTTGTCTAAAATCTCGCGTAAATTTGATGTATGTAAACGTAACTTTTGGACAATTCGCATTAATTTTGTGTTAAGTAAATTTTCTTCGTGCTGCCAACGTGCATCGTTTATTTCCTATAATAAGGTAATTCCCTTGCAATTTGATTTCGTTTTGCAGTGGAATCTGATTTGTGACAGAGCTCATGTGGGTGCAAATGTGCAAGCTGGTTATGCTGCTGGAATGTTGGTTGGCTCATTCGTTTTTGGAGCCATATCGGATGTCTTTGGACGACGATTTTGTATGCTTCTGTGCTCCGTGCTTGCGGTACGTACGATACTCAAAGACAACACCCAAGACTGCGAACAGTCTCTCTTTTTCTTCAGATTTATTGAGGGGAGTGCATGCGCGCGCGAGCGTCGAGCAACTGCGAGAAATGAGGACGGGGCATTTCCCGCCTCGTGCCCTCTGTCACGCGCGTGGACATTATCGTCTCTATCGCGTTTCGCTCGACGGACTAAGAAATAAGAGAGACTGTTCGAAGTCTACAAAATCCTGTCAAATACCTATTTTTAATACCTATCGTTAAGAGGCTTATGTTCGAAAGGGGGTGAATTACGAAGGGGGCAGTATCATACGAAGGAAATTCCTTTAAAAATCGTTTGGGCTTTTAATCGGAGGGAAACTTGTGTCAGACGGGACGTCCTTGCCCCAAGTGTTCAAAAGGCGGATAACGCTATCCAGTGGATAGCGCAATTGGTTTTCTTAACACTTAGCTGCTGGATAGTGATTTATTCGGTGGATAGCTCCTGATCCTACATTTGAACAACCCGGGCCTGGAATAGAGGTGTCTTAAAGGAGAAGGTTCACCTTGGTTAATAAAATGCAATGGTTATTTATGAAGCCCGATAGATTTCTTCGCCATATGTTTTTATTTGCTCTTTTGCACAACATTGAATAACACTCCTATAATTTTAAACTAACTCATGAATAGAAACGTGACATTTATTTTATTCAGTCACTGTCTGTCCCCCAAAACAAAAGATTGTGCCCTGTCCCACGGTAAACTAAAGGACCATTGTTCACATTGTAGATTTTTTTATGGCTTTTATAAGCTGTGTTTTCTACTAACTTCGGTTTCACTGTTAACCCTAACCTTATTTGGATCGCACGTCGGAAATCTGAACTCGAGACTGCGTG